ATGTCATACATAGAAATTTTGTACAACTGATACATCTCCTGGGGCTAATGGTTGCAACTAATAGAACCTTGAAACTCCAATACTTTGGCCATCTGCTGCGAAGAGCTGACTCATTTGGAAAGACCCTGATGCTGGGAAAGATTGAGGGCAAGAGAAGAAGGGAATGACAGAGGATGAGATGGTTGGATGGCATCACTGACTCAATGGACATGGGTTTGGGTGGACTCCAGGAGTTGGTGATGGACAGGGAGGCCTGGCGTGCTGTGGTTCATGGGGTCACAAAGAGTCAGACACAACTGAGCGACTGAACTGAACTGAACTGAATAGAACCTTGGGCTAATGGTTGCAACTAATAGAAATAATAATGCTTGCTTCCAGTTGTAGCTAATAGAACCAGGGTAGAAACTGGCTTGATCAAGAAAAGAATATATTACCTCCGGTAATGGAAAAGAGGAGGGAAAAGCTAAGTGTGCAAATAACACCCCTAGGAAATGATTTTTTATCTTTTGGTTCTGCTTTTCTTTATGTTGACGTCATTCTCAAGTAGATTCTTTTCGAGCGGCAGCAAAGATGGCCACTAGTACCTCAAAGATTATGGTTTTGTAATTTAACTTTTTTTTTTTGTCTTGGTAGTTGCATCAAACATTTCAGGGTTAATAACCATAGGTTTGATTGAGTCTCATGCCCAGCATTGGAAAAGTCACAATCGTTTTGATTGGTCAGATCTCAGTTATCTGTCAACTGCACTCAGTGGGTGGAGTCAGCTCTATTTAAGCCTTAAGGACTGAGATACAGAAAAGGGGTGTTATCTTAACAGAAAATCCAGTTTCTATTACATAAAGAAGGAATGGATGCTGCGCAGAGAAAAATTACAGATATCTATTCCAGTACTCAACTATATTCTCGAGTACTCAACAAATGCAGGAGAGAAACATAGATTATTACGACCAAGGGTGTTATTTTATGTTGAAAGCAAAGAGAGCTAGGGTGCTAAGGACAGGTGGAAAAATCTGATAGATGAAGTCAGATCTCAAGTTACCTTCTTCTCTTTAACACTACAGTTTCCCAGAGCTTTACACATGTAATAGAAGTTGATAATAATTTTCACAATTTTAATAGAAAAAATATATTGGGGGAAGGGAAGGTCTATAAGCTATAAAACAAAATTTTGAAAGTTTGTAAGATGTAAATCCATGGCTGATTCATGTCAATGTATGGCAAAACCCACTAAAATATTGTAAAGTAATTGGCCTCCAACTAATAAAAATATATGGAAAAAAAAAGTTTGTAAGTGATCAGTCTTCTTCAGGTAAATAAACTTGAAGATGCTGATCTACTCTTTAGATAAGATAGCTTTTCAATCCCCAGGCTCCCTGTTATTCCATTGGATTTACCTTTGCTTAATTGGTAAGCAGTGCTGATCCCAGATACAACTGCCTTCGAAGAGGAAGCTTATTTTTGATGTTCTAACTTTCTAAAAATGCCAGTTACTGGTGCTCCAAGCCTGGAGTGTAGTTATGGGACAACCACTTCCTTCTACAAATCATGTCCATTTATCTCTGTGGGCAAAGTCCATCATTTTCATCTACCTGTCATATCTAGTTTTGGTGGAACTCATTTGCAACCATCATACATAAAATATTCCCTAAATACCAAGTAAATTGATACAAATCCATCAACAGGCTATGCTTGTAAATAAACTCTATCAATTGATACTTGTATAGCACACTCCTACTTCCTAAGTTCTTGCATGTACACCATCTCACTTGATCATTATGAGAGCTCTGGAAGGCAGGAAGGACAGATAAAAATATTACTTTTCTCCTATCAAAACTAATGAAACAGAGATGGAGTGATCTGCTCAAACATGACTACTGTGAGGTTTGGAGTCCAGACCTCAGGTTTTTCCCACTACATCTTGCATCTGAATTTGGGTGAAGGCTGTAGTGTTCATTGGAAGGTTCAAGAAAAAACTAAGGAGTCAAATGAACAAGGGTTTTAAGACTGATTGCTGATTGTTGTATGGCTTTGGGCAAGTTTCTTAATCATTTAGCCTCAAATTATTCAACTGTGTTGTTTTAACCATTCCATACCTCATAGGATTCTTGTGATGATTAAATAAAATATTACGTGGACAGTGCTTAGCAAAGGCTCTGTATGTAAATTCATACTTCAATATTCCAGGTATTGTTCTCATCTTATATCTCTAAATGCTTATTTAACCTTCATTCACAAAGGGAAATAAAGATTTGCCTCATTCATCTGGATTGTTCCATGCTTATGCCTCTGTTAACTGCATCTTTTAGGTATGGCTAAAACGGGAGAGCAAATTGCCTGAATCAGTCTCTTACCGCACCATATTGACATAGTGAAGTCTTTCAATCGTGTCTGACTCTGCGACCCCATGGACTGTAGCCTACCAGGCTCCTCCCTCCGTGGGATTCTCCAGGCAAGAGTACTGGAGTGGGGTGCCATTTCCTCCTCCCGGGGATCTTCCCGACCCAGGGATCGAACCCGGGTCTCCATCATTGCAGGCAGATGCTTTACCCTCTCACCATGCTTGCATCTAATTGCTTGATCTATCTTTTTTGCCTTCCTGATTATCCACTATAAAGCCAAGTATCTGTTATTTGTACTCAACAGATTATAAGGTTAATACTATCCTGCATATTCTAGGAGATAAATATAAATTCTGCAATATGATTAAACAATTTAGACTAACGTAAACAACACTACCTCCTATTGGAGGCCTGTTTTTCAGACTAAATAAACCTCAAAGAAAGTTATTTCTCCCCTTTTACTTTGTTTTGAACTTGTCCCAATTCAGGCTGCATTATAGATCTCCCCAGTGTTTGTTTTATAAAAGGTAGGCCAATTATTTCCATGCAGCCCCAACATGGATCTTCGGTAACCTGGCTTTGAATATGATAGCCAAAACATCCATTTCTTTTGAGCAGAGCCTCATCAGCGAGTGATTTTGTCGAGTAAACGCAAAGGGAAATAGGAAGTGTGTTCCTGGAAGGGGGCAGGCTTTCCTGTTGGTCCTGATGCTTTCTTTCATCTCAAGGTGTCAGAACTGGAGCTCAGTGATGGGAGCACTGGTTCATGGTGGGGCCAACTTTCTGCCAAGGGGAGTTTCTAGTCTAATGGTGGAGGCAGAGAGTCAGCAGAAAATAAGAGGTGGTGACTAAGAGAGTGGGGCTGTGAACATGTGGACGGGAGCGCTGAGCGCAGATTTGGTGTGGGGGGGATTCTCCAGGGTGATGACATCCAAGGAGAGGGCTGGAGGATGAGTGTGGATCAGCCACATCAGGATTTGGTTGGGGGAGGAAAGAGGCAACTATTCTGGGCCAAGAGGAGATGCAAGGACTGTGAGGAGTGAGCAAATTTATCGGGATTAAGGAGCTCAGAATTTAAGGAGCAAGCTGGCTTCTCTGGCAGCTCAGAGGGTAAAGCATCTGCCTGCATTGCAGGAGACCCAAGTTCGATCCCTGTGTCAGGAAGATCCCTTGGAGAAGGGAATGTCTGCCCACTCCAGTATTCTTGCCTGGAGAATTCCATGGACAGAGGAGCTTGGCAAGCTATGGTCCGTGGGGGTCACAAAGAGTCAGACAGGACTGAATGACTAACACTTTCACTTTTCACACTGGCAGGAGAGAAGGCAGAAAAAAGGGTAGGGACCAGAATGAGGCGAGAGTGTAACCTTGGAAACTTCCCCCATTCTACACCCAAATCCACAAAGGAAGAAATGACCTCTGATGTCCCATTCTCTCCCAGGGGAAAGATAGTGAAGTCAAAGTCGCTCAGTGGTATCCGCCTCTTTGCGACCCCATGCAGTCCATGGAATTCTCCAAGCCAGAATACTGCAGTGGGTAGCCTTTCCCTTCTCCATGGGATCTTCCCAACCCAGGGATCAAACCCAGGTCTCCCACATTGCAGGTGGCTTCTTTACCAGCTGAGCTACAAGGGAAGCAGGGGAAAGATGATTCCCTTTAAAACCCAGATTTTCAAGGGATTGAAAGAAAGTAACACTGATTGAGCACTCGGTGATATACCAGGCACAGTTTTAGTTACTTTAGATTATTTAAACAATCCTGTGGCACAGGCACTACTGTGGTCCCCAGTTTATAGATGAGGATATTGAGACAGGGGGAGAGAAATGACCTGCCCAAGGCACTCAGCTGAAGACTTTCTTGGGACTGAATCTGAGGGAGGCTGGCTCCAGGGAATGTCCCCTCCACAAGGAAGGCTTGTAGCAGTGAGCCGTCCCATGAGCTGATTCAGGAATTCCTCTAGAGCTTCCAACAGTGCCATGGCAACTCTAGAAAGCTCTCCTGAAATTCATATACGGCATTTACTCTTTCATTGTTGAAATTTTTGGTCAGGACAATGTTTTAATAAGACCTGGTTATGAAAATAATGATGTTCTTAAGCTCAACTTATAACTACTATTGCAAGTTATGGAGGTTTATCATGAAAGAACTTCCAGACACCTTTTATCTTTACTTTTGCTTTTTTTTTTTTAACATGAGTAATGAAACTAGACAGGTCACTGTCCGTTAAAGTCAGTAACATTTCCTGGTTTCCAGGAGGTGACAACAATGAGTTTTCTTTGCCTTTTCAGCATGGCTACACTTTGTTGAAATTCAAGATCTGCTTTTATTATGACTTATTCAGGATTTTATTTTACTTTGCAATTTTTAGCACAATTTCTCTCTCTCTCTCTCTTTTGTTTTTTTTAGATTGTGTTACACGCTTTTGTCCCCAAATGAAAATGCAGGCTCCAGCCATACTTCCAACAATGCCTTTTTGGATGTCTTGTTCAGAAGTTCATATGTTAGGATGTCAAAGGTACAATACGACTTTTGATACATGGGTTGTAGCAAAAAGTGAATTTCTAGAGAATACACTATAATTTCAAGAAAAAAAAGTTTAAAAAGTGAAGCAGATTCCATAAAAAAGAAGCTAATTTTAAACTGAGATGTCTTTATCCAGGGGATTTGTTACTGATCTTTACATGACAACCTCGGAATTAACATTGCCTTGCTAACATTTCCAGTGCATGTATAACTTCTGACTAAACTATGCTCTATCGGGAAAAAGAAAGTCATGTTTGCTAACTGTTTTCAAACTTGGCAGATTTATTCTGAGAGTACCAGTCAAGCAAATCAGATTCAAAAACAAAAGCATCATGTCATATTTATAGTATCAGAAAAATGTTTTTATGAAAAATAATTAAGGACTATCTATAATTAGTTCCTGGAATAGTTGTTTTTTTTTTCATTGTTTAATTTTTTTGTTCCTGTCAACAAACATTTGTCATATTAGATCAGGTCATTTGAGTTTTGCATCCTATTTCGACATTTCTTCTAGGACATGTGAGCATGGGCAAACACTTTTTAATTATCCTGATCAAGTGTGGGGGACATCTTTTTGCTGACCCCACTTGTAATCAACTGTGATCTTCTAGAAGCAGGCGAATTGATTGCTTTTATCTTTCCCAACTAGTCAGAAGAGTGGGTCATATATTATTCTACCCTTTGGAAAAATGCAACCCAGTGATTGATTTTATGACTGCCGCTGGCAGCAAATTCCTCAGAATGAATTCTACCAGGTGAAGAAGTATTTCCTCTAACTTGCTTTAAATTTCCTTAGCATTAACTTCTCCGAGTGGCCCAGCCTCTTATGGGACAATGTAATAAGGATCTATCAGTTTTACTGCCCAGCACCTATCTTTAATGCCTAAGTAAATCTCTCTTACTTTCCAGCCCTGACTCTGTAATTTGAACTTCTGAAATCTCTTGTCATGAGTGAACCCACCCGGCACTGAGTTTCTTGCCCTGCTCTGGCGCTCTGCCTTCCCTGAACTACATGCCTGTAGGTGAGAAAGTGAGAAATAGAGACAATATCGCAGATGGCCATGTATGATTCTCCTCCATAATGCTGTGGCACTGTGCTCGCTCATATCTATCTTCTCTTCACACAAAAAAAGGAAATTCATGGAAGACAACAAAAAGTTGCTTTGAAAAATTTTTATCTAGTTCATATCCACAGACAGTGCATTATGCACCATGGGATTTTTTTTTTTAAGCCTATAGAGAATGATCTATAGGGGCTTTGACATATCTTTGCTCTAATTTCTACATCCCATGGCTGGGGTGGGGGGGGGCGGCGTCAAGCTTTCTTTTTATTTAAAACACTAGGCATCTATTTCTTTAAATAAATGGAGACCTCAAGCATTAGTTACTAGTCAAATCAAATGATAATACAATGTATAACTACTCAAACTCCACATTTTTCTCTAGATTTTTGCCAGGATACACGTCATCTCCACCTGCACCCCCAAATAATATTATTTCTAGTGTCTTAGTTTTGTAATGCCACTGTCAAGCTGGACTTACCTGATGACAAGAAAACTTGTGTAAGACTTTCAAACCTTAAGTGAAAAAACTGTATCGTAACATATTTTGTCATTTATTTACTGAGGTATATATGAGAGAGACAAGATGCTTTGTGCTTGTTGAGTAAATTGGCTTTGAAATTGTATATTTAAATCGTGGAGGCAAGACCCAGAAGGGTCAAAAAATAAATAAATAAACATCAAATTGGCATACATACTGAGGCAAGGATGATTTTAATTTTGCTTTCCTTAATGGCTGTTCTGTGAGGAGGAGATGACAGAGGAAGAGGTATGACAAGCCAGGAATGCCTCTGCAGTGATGCTCTTTTGCCCTTTCTCTCACATTCTTCCTTCCCTTCCTTTCTCTCTCTCTCTCTCCTCCTATCTTCTTTCTCTTTTATTTCCATCAAAGATTATTGAGCACCTATCATGTGTACACATGGTCCTGGGTTCTGGGATACAATAGTCAAACAGAAATAGTCTCTGAACTCAGAGCAGGAAAACTGCAGTCACGAAGCAATTGCATGAAGTGCCTGAGAAGTCCTCGTCCAGGAATCGGGAGCATGGGTAAAGAGCCACCGTCCACGATGTGAAGACTTCCGGTGGGGAGCCGTTTTTAAACGGATGCTCAAGGGATGTGCAGAAGCGAGCTGGAAGGAAACAGAGTGTGGAAGAGAAAAGGTCATCTGTGAAAGAGACGGAGCTTGTGGCAGACAGGCTGAGGGAAGTCCAGGCGGGCAGGAAGGCTGGGTTGCTGCAGGGCAGGGAGGGCCGAGGGGCAGGGCTCCAGGGAAGAGTTCACTCCTGAGGAAGGACACCAGGGCTCAGGGGGCCAGCTGCTGCTTTGGAAACAGAAGGAAAAACAGTACCTGGAAGCTATTTGGGGAAAAGAAGGTGTTTTTTCCCCTAAATCTCATCAAGATTAGTTTGAGTTCAAATAATTACAATAAAGTCTTTTGAAGTAGCTTCAGAACTTAAGAAAAGAGGCCATTAGAGATTCAAGAATATACCAAACATTTATATCCATGATCCCCCTCCCTAGATAGGGACCACAGTATGGGATATGGGCAGACTAGCTGGGTGTAATGGCCTTTACTCTCTCTGGAAACTAGCAGAGGCTCACTTGGTGCAGAGATTTTTTTTTTTTTTCTCTTTAAAGGCACTTGTTTCAGCATCAGGCACATAGAGCTGAGAGATACCACAGAAAACACCTTTCCAGGTATGTAGTACTTTTCATTCTAACTTTCAAACCTTTTTTTTTTTTGTTTTTTTTGCTGGTAAAAGCCACGACAGTCATAAAAATTAATGTTTTTGCTTTCCCACACAGGGGGAGGATCAGTCTTTTGTTGAGTGGAAATTAATGATCAGAGTCAGTAGAATATTTGAATCAGTTCTAATGAGGTGGATGAGCCTATAGCCTATCATACAGGTGATGTTAAGTCAGAAAGAGAAAGATCAATATTGTATATTAACACATATATATAAAATCTAGAAGGATGGCCCTGATGATCCAACTTGCAAGGCAGCAAAGGAGATGCAGACATAAAGGGCAGATTTTTGGACACAGTGAGGGCAGGGGAGGGTGGGATGATTTCAGGGAGCAGCACTGAAACATATACACGACCATATGCAAAACAGAGAGCCAGTGGGAATTTGCTGGGAACCCAAAGCTGGTGCTCTGTGACAACCTAGAGGCGTGGGATGGGGTGGGAGGTGGGGGGAGGTTCAAGAGGGGAGGGAATGTGTGTACACCTGTGTCTGATTCATGTTGATGTGTGGCAGAAACCATCACAATATTGTAATTATCCTCCAATTAAAGATAAAGTTTAAAAAATAGAGGTCAGAGTCAAGATCCCCCTGCCCGTCTACACATTGGTGCAGAAAATAATTGCTGTGACTGCACCTGCAGACAAAAGGCCCAGTGCATCTCCATCCATCCATCCACGTCCCCATGACTGACAGGAGACCAAGGGCCATTCAGCTTCAAGTGGAAAAGACAGCTTGCTAGACTAGGCCTCTTTGGAGCCCAGCACAGCTCTGCCATGTGGCATTGTGACTTACTGGACATCAGGAAGGCAATTTGAGTCCCCATCTTCTTCCATATGCTCTTCATGAATGAGTTCAACATCTCAGTTTACCGACCTGCTTGTCTGTCTTAGTTGATCCCCTAATTTTGTTTTTGTTTGGCCTAATGAAGGCAAGTGTTTAGGAGAGATATCTAAGATACAGGTTTTGGTCAGCAAATGTAAGAATATATTCTGAAATTTGGTTGGGAGACTCAGTGTAGGGTCCCAGACTACCATTCAGTTTCTGACCTTAATAATCTTTTATATCAAAAAAATTAAAGCCAAAATTTTCATACCAAAAAAATTAAAAATTGAAGCAGAAGTTATATGCCAAATCATTAAAGAGGCATGATTCATCCATGTTCTCACTGAGGCTGACAAATACTTTGGGTACAGAGACAAGCAGAATGGGACTAGGGTCTTCATGCTTTAGGTTGAAAGTGAAGTTGCTCAGTCATGTCCGACTCTTTGTGACCCCATGGACTGTAGCCTACCAGGCTCCTCCATCCATGGCATTTTCCAGGCAAGAGTACTGGAGTGGGTTGCCATTTCCTTCTCCAGGAGATCTTCCCGACCCAGATCTCCCACATTGTAGGCAGACACTTTACCATCTGAGCCACCAAGGGAGCTTTAGGTTGATATAGTGTTTAAACATTTGGAACCATGTTTTTCTCAAAGGATATTTAGGAAAAAACTCTTTCGCTTAGACATATTTAATGCATGTAGTTGATATTTAAATTTTAACTTAAAAGGGATTTTAAACTGAAATTGTTTTATACTATACTAATACCAGCTATAATACCCTATTCTACTATATTTATGACTCTAATACTATGCTAATGGACTTCCCTGGTAGCTCAAACAGTAAAGAATCTGCCTGCAATGCAGGAGATCCAGGTTTGATCTCTGGGTTGAGAGGATCCCCTGGAGAAGGGAACAGCAACCCACCCCAGTATTCTTGCCTGGAGAATTCCATGGACAGAGGAGCCTGGGGGTGGGGCTACAGTCCATGGGGTCACAAAGAGTCAGCCAAGACTGAGCAACTAACACTTTCACTTTTCATACTAATACTATGTCTATATCTATATCTATCTATCTACATTTGGGGGAGAAGGAGAATAGGGGTCAGGATCATGTGTGTGTTAATTCAGATTCAAAGAGGCCAATCTGATATTTTGAAAGACTATGTCCAATTTCATCACTAACTGAACAGACACATTTGTGAAATACCCCTTTGTGAGGCAGGAACATTACCGTGTCCCCTTGATCCCAGAATACTCCTAGAACTTTTTCCTGAATCTTCTATAGAGAAGGAACTCAAAACACACTTGCTGAACCAAATAAAATAATGGAGCAAGCACAGCTGGTGGCATCTAAGGATGCTGAAATGCTCAGCGCGTGTGTCCATGCCTGAACCCTGCTACTACTAACTTCTTTCCTGCCTATTTCCTGTTCCAGATATAAAAGTATCCATAACTGGGGTAGTTGACTCAAAACAACAATGATGACAACAACAGAGCAGTAACGACCTAGATTGAGCACTCACTATGCATCAGAGACTGTGCCATGCACTGTGATTTTCTGTGATCCTTACAGCAGCTGGAGGAGGTACGTTGCTATGATTATTTCTGTTTCACAACCAAGAAAGCCCAGGCTTAGAGAGGAACGGCTCAGTGTCATGGGACTAGTGCAGGGTGGAACCAGAACTTCAAGTTGTTTTCTATGGTCTGATTCTTGATATCACGCTGTTAATCATTTTCCAAACTCACCAGGCTGGACCTTAAAGCACAGAAGGTTCTAGAAAATCTAGAAAGATTTCCCTGCACCTCAGAACATCCAAAGCAAATTTAGAGTGGGAAAGCACTCCTTGGGGCCAATTCTTTCCTTCTTTCTTCTTTCTTTTTCTCATGACTCTATTAAGCTCTGCCAGGCGCTGCAAGACACTTGAGTGTGTGTGGGAGGGCCGACTGAGAAAGACTCTGCGTGTTCTGATCTTCTGCCTTCTTCCTGTTCTTCCCACAGGACTGATGGGCTAAACAGACTTAATGCTTGGCTGTAGGCATCCCTGTGGAAGACTCCAGCAGACCCACATGTCCTACGGTTCAACTTTTCAAACCTACCTCTTTGTAATTCCTAAGTAGGAGTCTGAACTCTGTTGTCATATTTCAGTTTTACAGTTTCTCTGAAATATTTTGATCCAAATATGCCCTTAGAGTCATGCTTTATTAATGCGATATGACTCATATTAGTGACTGCTTGTTCTTCAGCCATATGCCCTGAAAAAGTTATCAGGTTTCATTGTTTACCCTAAGTTAAAAAAAAAATTCCATGCTCTCCGACCTCGTGACACCTAAACCCTGCTCATGCAGTTAAAACAGGAAAACTAGTTATCTGATATCATGAAGGCAAATCAGGTTGTAGAAGCCCTCAAATGTTTCCATTTCCACTGGTGTGAGGGCATTGTGGGAGCCATGGATTATTCATCAAGAAAGCACAGGAGAGAATTTCTTTTTTGTTTGTTTGTTGATTTCCAAAGTAAACCCAAGTATGAAGAGATACAGCTGCGGTGCCTTTATTTTTCATTGCTAGCACATATCATTATGTCATCCTGGAAGAACTGCCCAAAGAAATAGAAAAAAGAAATTACCACGTGGATTGCTTAATGGCCCTCCTCCTGCCTGCCTGCAGAACTGTCTGAGAAAGGAACATGCACACACATTAGTCAGGCCCTCGGGGTTAGAAGGCTTCTCACCACCAGCAGTGCCAGGGTAGCCTGGGAGTCGGCAGAGCAGGCTTTGGCAGGCCACCAGAGAAAGGGCATTTCATAATCAAGAACTTACCCGAGAGGATTCTGAGCCAGCAAGACAGTGTTGGGAGTCCAGGGCTGGGGAAGAATGAGCGGATTTATTCTGTGGACCAAAACCTCTGCACTTAGAGATATTTCCTTTCTAGTTTTGATTTCCTTTTATTTTAGCTGCTGCATTTTTTTTCCCCTCACCAGATTTCACTGTTCTGTCTTTGGTGTACCTGACTGAAGTGTTACACAAATCCATCACTAAAGAATATACTGGCTATACATTGGGGNGTGGTAGTGATGGAAGAGACCCTGGGTTTCCTAATAAGATATAGGAATAACAAACATTTATTGAGCACTTTTACCAAGTGATACTGAGACATGCATGAGGTAGCTCAGATAATCCTCTGAACCTAGCATTTGGGTACTATTACCAAGTTAATTTCAGTTGAGGTAACAGATGCGTGGAAAGGTTAAGTAACTTACCTGAGATCACAGAGCAAGTAAGTCACAAAGGCAAGACACACAGCCCTGTAGCTTGATCAAGTTCATGGTCTTTTTTTTTGTTTTGTTTTGTTCATGGTCTTAAGAGAGACTCTTTGTTCCTCCAAATGGGGATGACCCGTCTTCCTTTGGGTCCACCAGGAGCTGTTGGCAGTGCCTAGGTCTCCGTATTTACTTAAGGACCTATTATGTAACGGGACCTAACTAATATACCACTTAAAACTACAAGAGACACATTGGGTTGAAAGACAGTCTGGCAATTTCTTATAACACTAAACACACTCTTCTTGTATTATCTAGCAATGATGTTTATTCATATGAGTTGAAGATTTATGTTCACACCAAACTTTGCATATGAGCGTATATAGCCACTTTATTCATAGTTGGCAAGAATTGGTACTTTTCAAGTTGTCCTAGTAAGTGACTGGATAAACAAACCATGGCACAATCAGACAGTGGAATGTCATGAGACAATAAAAAGAAATGCACTCGTAGACAGACATGGAGGAAACTTACATGTACTGTATGCAATTCCAACTATATGACATTCTGGAAAAGGCAAAACTACAGAGACAGTAAAAACCCCAGATGTTGCTAGAGGCGTCATGGGGAGAGAAAGGCAAATAGGTAGAACACAGTTGTTTTTTTTTTTTAATTTTTTCTCACTTTTAAATTTATTAATTTTAACTGAAGGATAATTGCCTTACAATATTGCATTGGTTTCTGCCATACATCAATAGAAGTCAGTCATAGGGACATACATCCCCTTCCTCTTGACCTCCCTCCCACCTCCCATCCTTCCCATCCCTCTAGGTCGTTGCAGAGCCTAGGTTTGAGTTCCCTGAGTTATAGAGCAAATTCCCGCTAGACATCTATTTCACATGTGGTGATGTGTATGTTTCCATGGCAACCTCTCCTTTCCTCCCACCCTCTCCTTCCTTCCCTCCTCCCATGTCCGTAAGTCTCTTCTCTGTGTCTGCGTCTCCACTGCTGCCCTGCAAATAGGTTCATCAGTACCATCTTTCTAGATTCCATATATATGTGTTAATAGGCGATATTTGTCTCTCTTACTTCACTCTGTATAATAAGCTCTAGCTTCACCCACCTCACTAGAACTGACTCACACATGTCCCCTTTTATGGCTCAGTAATATTCCATTGTGTATATGTATCATGGCATCTTTCTCCATTCATCTGTCGCTGGACATTTAGGCTGCTTCCATGCCCTAGCTACGGTAAACAGGGCTGCTTCCATGCCCTAGCTATGGTAAACAGGGCTGCACTGAACACTGAGGTCCAAACACAGAGGGTATTTAGGGCAGTGAGACTATCCCCTATGATGCCTAATGGTGGATACATGTCTTTATACATTTGCCAAAACCCACAGAACATACAATACTGAGGGAAGCCTGATGTAAACCATGATCTTTAGCTAATAATAATGAATCAGTGTTGGAGCATCAGTTGTAACATATGAACCACACCAAAGCAAGACGGGAATAGGAGGACAAGGTTGGGAAGGGATATGAAGGGATATACAGAAACTCTTTATACAGTTCACTCAAATTTTCTATAAATCTAAAATTCCTCCAAAAATATATTAATTTAAAGAAAAGACTTTGGCGAGTTTGGATCGGAGGGACCGGGAGACAGGAGGGAGTGTTTTTTCCCTGTCCTACCTTTTGCATGTCTATTCAAGGTAAATTAAAAGTTAAAAGCCAGTAAAGGAAAGAATAGGGGCCCAGACAGTAAAGAACCTACTTGTAATGCTGGAGACCTGGGTTCGATTCCCGGGTTGGGAAGATCCCGGGGAGAAGGGAATCACTACCCACTCCACTACTGGGCTGGAGAATCCCATGGACAGAGGAGCCTAGCAGGCTACAGTTCATGGGGTCACAAAGAATTGGACACATTTGAGTGACTAAGGAAAGAATTCTCAACTTCAGGTATGATCCTGGGGCTATGGCCTATTTTGAATGGTGGAGTCCCGGTCTCCTGTATTCTCGATGCAACAGAGGAGCCATGCTCAGGAACCACCTGCTTGGACCAAAGGCGGCTGGGGTAGAGTCAGAAGGTCTGAGGTTGGGAGCGACGATAGGGCTTCATGCTGCCCACTCTGGCCCTGCTCAAATCTGCACGTTCATCAGAGATTTTGGAGAGCCCATTCTGCTGGGCTAGTTTGTATCTTGAGCTTGCTGAAATGAGACAATGCATGGAAGAAAGAGGCGGGAAAAGAGAAAAGTGGGATGGGAGGAGAAAAAAACAAAGAGAGAGGAAGGAGGAAATTAAGGAAGGAAGTGGAAGGAGAATGTAATTTTGGTGGGCCATTCTGAAGTCTGGTATAGCTTCCTACTAAAGGTCTGGTCTTGGCAAGTGACGCTGGAGAAAGAAGGAGGGGTGCCTTCAGGTTTTTCTAGTTAAAAAGAATGGGGCTGAAATTTTTTCTAATCCCTCTCAACTTCAAACCTTGGAAGGACTGTTAAACCAAAAAGGGGACGAGCTCATGTCTGTCGCCATCTCCAGCATCCTCACCACCAGGCCTGGTTGATGCCATTAATCACACAAGGCGTCCATCTGGGTGCCTGTCACTCGAGCTGCTCCCTGTGGTCAGAAAAGCAGATGACAGGCAAATGCCAAACTCTTGCTTGTGTGGGTGTTCAGTGGTGACTCTGGGTGGAGAACTCACTTCCCTCTGCCTACATTTTCATTTTCATTATTCATTACATTTTGTCATTTGCTTTCCAGAAGGAGGCAGTTATGTTTGGAGAGAATGGAATGAACCCAACTCCATTTGGCTCCTTGCTGAACTAATGACATGAGAGGTTTTAAATATCACTGGGCAGTTGATATAGTAGAAACACACACACAGACCAAATCTCATATAAGGATTCAAGTATAGGGGGCTATCTGAACAAACTGGTTTTCTATAGAATCATTTAAGGAATGTTTGGTTTTATATATAAAATCAGCTAGGACAAGGATTTTATTTAGTTGTGTTACATGTAAAATGACTTATGATTGGAAATTTCCAATTTTTACCAACTCCTCATCTTTCTGGGAGATTATACCAATGAACTCTGAGGTGTAAGGGACTCTCCCAAGCTATGGAATGTTATTTCCAACATGAAATTTCATTTCAATATATGGGTCCCCCAGAACCCTAATAGAATTGAATTATTGCCTCAATGGGCTTCCCAGGTGGCTCAGTGGTAAAGAATCCGCCTGCCAATGCAGGAGATGTAGCAGACGCAGGTTTGATCCCTGTGTCTGGAAGATCCCCTGGAGGAGGAAATGACAACCAATCCAGTATTCTTGCCTGGAGAATCCCATGGACAGAGGAGCCTGGCAGGCTGCAGTCCCCGGGGTCGCAAAGAGTCAGACAGGACTGGGCGATTGAGCACACACACACGCACATTGACTCAATGTGATATTCCCAGAAAACCAGGATTGATGACTCCTTCTCAGGCAGTTTTCTGAGAACTGCCTGACTCTTTCTGCAGCTGCTAGAGGCTGCTGGCTTCAGAGTTCCTTTGGGTTATTTCAAGATAAATCTTTAAATGGCACCTGGGTCTATCCTTATATGCAAGCTCCAGAAAGGTTTGATTCTATTTCTAGAAGTGGATTAATAATAACCATAAGTAAGTAATATGTTCCAACTCTACAGTCTCTTTCAGATTGTGAGACTCATTTTGGATCAGTGAGGCAGCTTCCCTGAGTTTTATTTCATCCACTTTCTTAGTCAGAAGAGGTGGACTTGAGGTCAAGTACAATTTGTCCCCAAAGCAATGGGTCAAAATGAACTAAAAACTAATGTCAGATTTGCAGAAGTGGTTCATTAAGAAGAGGAGGGAAAAGTTAGAGCCAAAGAAAAGGATTAAAGAATCTTCCAACTGGAAACCTAAATTTTAAAAAGTTTGGAACAATTAAACACTCTTACTGATAAAAATCACCCCAAATTAAATGTAAATCTCCAGTATCAACAACAGGGACTGCTTTAGTCTCATAGTCTGAGGTCTTTTACCTTTTATTTTCTTTTTTTGTTTGTTTTCTTTTTAAAAAATCTTATACCAAACCTTAACTTTCATATTTGTGAAATTAAAGGTTAAACAATAAAAACATCAGAGTTTGAAGTATTACAATGATTGTTTTTTTCTTCAAGAATATGACTCATGTACTATTTTATAATAACACTCAGGAAGTGGAAATTATTTGCATGAACAATAGCTTGGGGTTGTAGGGATTATGTGTGAAAGTGAAAG